AAGGGAAAACTGAGTTGATACCAAAGGCTCAAGTAGGAAGCAAATGTCTTGAGGATGATGGCAACAAATGTACAAATGTGCTTGACACAATAGATGTGTGTATGGATTGTGATAAGAGATGTAAGAGCCCCCAATACAATGATTAAAAGAAATGTAGGGGTGGAGTCTAGCCTGAAAGTCAGGTCACAGCCTGATGGTGATACCTCCTTGTGGGTGTGGCCTTTTCATCAGGAGGGTCCTGGGAACTCCTCTCTCTGCCTTCACCTTCCAGTTGAAGCTCTGCCAGCGCTCCGTGATGCTGCCACTGCCACTGGATCATAAGCCTTTGCACCCACCGGGCAATGGTCTTCCTACATGAGTCTGAACAGGGGCTTATGGACCAGTATCGGCCTTATAGACTTGAGTTGGACTGGGCTGGGGTATTTTCCTGATATATAGCCTTTTCTTAGACATATAGGAGTGTCACTCAATTTGTTTCTCTGGTCAACCTGGCCTAACAGTCCTCAAGACCCCCAGACTGCTCCTCCATGGACAAGGCTCAGCACCCAGAGACACTCCTTTTGCCCCTCCCCACTCCCACCCCCACCCCCCTGCCTCCACTCAAACAGTGCGATGCCCGTGTTGGGAGGGCGGACTGGAGGATCACAGGTTTTGGAAAGTGGAAGGAATGCAGAGATCACCGGCTCACTGCCCCCCCCATTTCACAGACACGGAGCAGAGGAGAGACTTGTCACCGGACTGCTAGTCCAATGTGTGTGTGTGTGTAGTGCGTGTGTGTGCATGTGCATGTGGTGGTTTGTGTCTATGTGCTGTGGGTGTGGTGTGTGGGGTATGTACGTGTGTGCTGTGTGTGTGGTATGCATGTGGGTAGTGTGTGTCTGTGTTCTATGTGTGTGTGGTGTGTCTGCTGTGTGTGTGGTCATGTGTGTCTATGTGCTGTGTGTGTGGTGTGTGCTGTGTGTGGTATGTATGTGTGTGGTGTGTGTTTATGTGGTGTGTGTGGTGCATATGTGGGTAGTGTGTGTCTGTGTTCTATGTGTGTGTGCATGGTATATGTGTGGTGTGTGTTTATGTGTTATGTGTGTGTGATGTGTGTGTGGTGTGTGGTGTGTCTGTGTGGAGTGTGTCTGTGTGTGT